CTATGTTGTAAGGCCAAATTTTCCACAGATTTCTTAATATCAGGATGAGGGCCACAGTTCCAGTCATATTTCCTGGGTGTGCAGTGAGGAATTTGGGTGGGGGAAAGAACATTCTTAAAGTACTTTATACCAACAAGTTTCTATGAGAAGACAGGAAGACAAAAAAGACATGCATGATAAAAAGTGGTCTTCTTTTAAGTGATACGAACAACTTATTTTAGGAGGTCTTATTATGGAAACACCATGTGGGTAGTTAGGGCCCGGGGTAGTAGGGAAGGAGTAGGAATGGTTGGCACTTGCCAAATGTCATAACTTGCACGATTGCTAATGACTCAAAATGTTTCTCTCAACTTTTGGATGGGCCCCCGGGGAACCTGGCACCCGGCCACTTGTGATGCCCCAATCTGATTGGCTGCCTGCTCCAGGTTTGTCTGTTGGTCTTGTGCCCAATCCCGCCTGAGGAGTGCAGCTTCAGAGATAAATCAGAAGCTGTTCATAAGGACCAGTTCCATTGGAAAGAGCACTTTCAGCACTCAACCCTTGTCTTTCCAAGTGGTTCAGGCTTGACAGCAAGAGCAAGGGTGGGGACCCGTCTGAACCCTGGATATTCGAGGTGAGTCCTTTCACTCAGAATACCTTGCAGAATTCAGCAACACCTGCTGGGGTGACTACAGTCAGGTGCTCTGGAATTTGCCGAACTGGCCCAGCAAGAGAGCAAGGAAAGTGTTGGAAGCTACAGAGAAACATGTGGCTCATAGACAGCAAAGTGGGCAGGGGGGTCAGTCTTTCAGTTTTTAGAGTGGAAATGGGGCAGACAAAGCAGATTATTCTTTAGTCACACAATTATTATATTTAGGGTCTTCACCTGCTGGAGCTAATTTTTCCTGATCAACCAAGTTGTTTCAGGGCTTTGGTGTTAAATCTAGTCCTTCCATGAGTAGGAGGCTGTGTCTTATAAATCGCCCACATTAGAACAGCATCTCCCCTGGCTTGAAGGACACAGAAGATCTAGCGATTGACGTTTTTTTAATCTAACCTGTATTCTGTCCATCCCTCTCAGAAATTATTCTCTGCTTAGATCCGATTATTTGCTTCGTGCTGTTTTTGTTTTAGTTAGTTTAGTAACCAACAATTATCTTACAATTACCTTACTGTAAAAGCAGATAAGGTCTAATGTACTTCTGTTTGGTTTGGTTTGGTTTTGTGGTGTTGCCCACTGGTTAGACAGTCACCTCACTAACTATTGTGGTTCAGATCGCATGTAAAGTGCAACCGACTGTGCAGGGTTTGGAGCATGAGCTAGATTTAAAATAGCAAGTGGTTGGTTTCTACAGCCGTGTCTCTAATGGACATCTCCGTGCATGACCAATTGAAACCAGCAACCGGGAACTAGGGGGTTTGCTACTTGGTCCATTCAGTGACATCCCATTCTTCTGGGAAAATACACACTGGTTATACATGCTATTTTTATTTCAGTAGTTCAATTAGACTGAGGACCCTACCAGTGAGTCAATAACGATTTATTTAGCACATACTATGTGTCAGGCACTGTGCTAAATGATGGAGAGACAGAGAGAAGTAAAGGACAATTTCTGTTCTCAAGAAGTTTACAGTCTAATGGAGGACTGCATGGTCTAGTGATGGCATAGAAGTGATAAGTGCATGTATTCTTCTATCCTTGTATGTAGGGAGGAAGCATGGCAGAGTGGATAGAGTCCTGTGTTTGGAGTCAGGAAGACCTGGGTTCAAATCTTACCTCTGATACTTATGTGACCGTGGACAAATAACTTAACCTCTCTGAATCTATTTCCTCATTTAAGATTGCTTCTAGTACTAACCCCACAAGGTTTTTGTGAGCTTCAAATAAAGGAACGTTATGTGAATATCAGCTTTTATTGCAAATGAGTATGTCTGTGTGATTTGTATTTTATTAATTATAAACATATATGTGTATACTATATCATAAATATTAAAACCTATTTTATATATACATATATGTATATTAAAAAAAACAAAATACATGCTTCTATTTATAGTTTAATTATATTCTCCAAACCCTACTCTAGATTCATCCCAGATTTAGACTCAAACTCATAATTATTTTTGTTCCTTATAAAGTGGTGGATATCACAGATGTTGCGTGATGAGAATTGCAAGACTTAGTTAATGGGCTAAGGAAATAGGCCATTCTGTTCTCTAATCCTGGATTAATGAAATGGAACTAAAACCATCACCATGACTTAAAAAGTTGGCTGGTAGGGAATAGGTTGGGGAGGGGACTGAGGAGTTCTGATGAGTCATAGAAACAATTTTAAGGTATTTACAAATATAAATGAATACTTTAGAAATGTTTTCTTCTAGCACCTGGTATGTGGTAAGTGGTGAATCAATGTTTGTTGATGGTCACATAGTGGATAGAGTGCTGGGCCTGGAGCCAGGAAGACTAGAGGTCCAATCCAGTCTCAGACCCTAACTACCTGAGTGATCCTGGGCAAATCACTTAAACCTCTTTTTGACTCAGTTTCTTCAACTGTCAAAGGAGGATAATAATAGCACTTACCTCAAAGTGCTGTGTGGATCAAATGAGATAATATTCTTAAAGCACTTAGTACAATGCCTGGCACATAGTAAGTACCATATCAATACTATTATTGTTGTTATTGCTATCAGAGTCATTTCAATATCTTTGGCTCCTCCCCCTGGCCAGACAAGAGGACAAGCAATCAATCAACAAGAAGTATTTGTTAAGTATTTACTATATACCAGGCACTGGGCTAAGCTCTGGGAATACAAAGAAAAAACATGCGTAGTCCCTGCCCACAAAAAAGCTTACGTACTAATTGGGGAAATAACATATACACAAATAGGTATGTACAGGTTGCATAAAGATTAAATAGAAGTTGATCTTAGAGGGAAAGACTCTAGCAGCAGGTGGAACCATTGAAAACCTGCAGAAAATGTTGTTTGAGTTGGATCTTGAAGGAAGCCAGGGATTCTGAAAGGTAGAGATGAGGAGAGAGCAAATGAGAGCTAGCCAGTCCAAAGGGAGATGGAGAACTGTGTGGGAAGGATGGCAAATAGGCCAATATGACTGGACCCTAGACCACATAGATGGAAGTCATATGTAAGATGGGTGGAAAGATAAGACAGGATCAGATTGTGATGAGCTCTAAATGTCAGGCAAAGGAGTTTATATGCCTTATTAAGCAGGGGAGTGACATGGGCGGGCCTATATTTTAAGAAATTACCTTTAATAATTTTTTGGAGGAAAAATTGGAGTGAGGAACCAGTTGAGGCAAGGAAACCAATTAGAAGGCTATTGCAATAATCCATATGGGAGGTGATGAAGGCCTAGACTAAAGTGGTGGCTGGTTGGGTGGAGAGAAGGAGACCTATTTGAGAAAAATTTGAGGACAAAGAAATTATGAAATTTGGTGACTGATTAGATCTGTGCTATTAATGAGTGTGAGGAATGGTGGATAACACTGGACTTGACAAACTGAATGACTGATTGTGTCCTCGACGGCAAGACAGTAAAATAGGGGATTTTTTTTAAGAGTAGGGGTAGGGTGGGGATGAGGGAAGATAATGAGTATCATTTGGGACATGTTGAATTTGAAATGCCTGCAAAATATGCAGTTCAAAATGTCCAATGGACAGTGACGTGGGACTGGGTCTTGGGAGAAGGATGAGGGGTGTCTATAGAGATCTGAGAATCATATGTGTAGAGATGCTAATTGAATCTTTCGAGATCTGTTGAGGTCTTTGAGTTACTGAGAATAGAGGGGAAAAGAAGAAAAGAAAAGGACAGAGCTTTGGGGACCTTCCATAGTCAATAGGCATTTTACTGAAAAAATAGATTAGTTCTAACAGAGGACGGCTACTGAAAAGGAGCAGTCTCAGAGTGGGGAAGAGAACTAATAAAGAGCCATGGGGACACAAAGCATAGACAGTTTTTTCAAGGCCACATAGAAGTGTCAAACCTGTGACTCATGGGCCATATGTGGCCCACAACGCTGCTGAGTGTGGCCCAAACCAGATTAAAATGTAATTGGGAAATTTTTGATAAAATAAATGAAAATACAATGAAACATAGATAATATTACATTTTAAAATTAAGTCGGTAGGCAGCCCACCAGGATCCTTATGTGCATATTGATGACCTGTGTTTCTATTTCAATTGGATGTCACTGATCTAGCCTAACCTCTTTGTTCTATAGGTGAGGAAACTAAGGCCTTCTAGGGGGGGTTAATATTTCTATTATTTTTATCAGAACCTCTTTCAGGGCTTGACTAACCTGACCTTTGCAGACAGACTCAGAAACTATTATGCCTCAAGTCTGTATGGGGAGAACTTGGGGAAAACGTTAAGGTTGCGCTTTGATCCACTAACTAAGCAGAATTTGCGTCTGAGTCATACATCCATATCAGGAAATTAGAGGAATTGTCTAAGTGAGTGAAAGAGGACTCCGGGTCTTGGGGTGTGGGCATGGCATGGCATGGCTGATTTAGCCAGAACTCCCACTGTGATTTTGACTCGTGTTTGTTTTTTCAGGTGGTAATGCAATTCCTTTCACCATTGTTGTAGTGTTTGCTGAACAGACAGCCTCAGTTGAATATTATCCAGCATTGAACAGAAACTATAGTTCGGCAATCTTCAGCTCCTTCACAACATCACATCCAGCCAATCGTTAAATTCTTGTGGTTCTGCCCTGTCAGTCGCTCTGACTTTCATCCCCTTTCCATACCCCGGATCAATGTAGTATATAATAGAGTGCTAGCCTTGGAGAGACCTGGGCTTGAATCCTACCTGTGGCATTTACTAGCTGTGCCAACCTAGAAGGAAGGAAGGTAGGAAAAAAATATATTAAGCCCCTACTATGTTAAGCATTTTATGAGTGTTTTCTCATTTCATCCTCGTAAGAAACCTGGGTGGTATTATTATCCTTATTTTACAGTTGAGAAAACTGAGGCAGACAGAGACCTGCCCATGGCTGTACAGCTAGTAAATATATGAGGCCAGATTTGAAATCAGGGCTTCCTGACTCCAGGCTCACCTAGATGCCTAGAGAAGAAGTGGAATAGTGTTGGATGTGGAGGGAAAAGATGAAACAGGGAGTTTTCCATACCAATGAAATCACAGGTCAATCTATAAACATTTATTAAGTGCCTACTATGTGCTAAGTCTGAAGCCCACCCCTTCCATACTTGTAGTACCTACCTTATGAGTTGTTCTGAGGCTTCACCATCCAGTGGAGATAAATCTTTTACACTGCCTGTCTCAAATGATTGTTGCAAGGACAGCCTTTTGCAGACTTGAAAGTGCTCTATAAACAAGGATTGCAGTTATTTAAAAACAGAGCTGCAAACTGGGAAATGGTGAGACTGAAATGGTCTTCCTTGGTGACTCGTTGTGACCTCAGACCTATTTTGTGAGCTGGCCTGACACCCTGAGATCTGCTTATCTGCCTTGGATTAGCTTTTATGACTGTTCAGTCTGTCAGAGTTCTTCCCGAGGTAAGCATTCAGTAGACACTTGATGACTCTTAACATTAGCTTCTCCATGGATATTTGCCACGGCCTCTATACAGGCTTTAGGCTCCAGTCAGGGTAGAGGAGTAACAAACTGTTGCTTTTGATTTCCAGAAATGTCTTTCCTGGACCTGAGTTTCTTCTCCATGGGGATGTGGTCTCTGGGGGCTGGAGCCCTGGGCGCAGCTGTTTTAAGCTTGATCCTGGCCAACACTGATCTGCTTCTGACCAAATCAGTAACAGCTACCCTAGAGTTTCTGGAAGACATAGAGCTGAAAACCATGGATAATGGTGAGAATTAAGTCTTGGAGCTCAGCACTATTCCTGGATAATTCAGGACATTAGTTCTGGCCAGAAATGTCGGGCTCTTGGTTTTCTGAGCTCCTCTGATGGCTTGGGGACTGCTTCAGTGCCTCAGAACCAAGAAGTGAAATATGAATTGAAAAACATTGAATATCTGTCTTTCCTTTCCAGAATCCCCAAAGACTTTCAAAGCCCGAGAACTCTGGAAAGACCGTGGGGCAGTGATCATGGCAGTAAGAAGGCCAGGTTGTTTTTTGTGTCGAGAGGTATGTAGCTTTGCATTTGGGGCTTTTATTTGGGGAAAAGAACTATGGTATGTGAGAGACCTGTGTACTTCACACGTCTGTAGCACTTTATTTGTTGCACTGTGGGTTTTAAAAATTTTTGTTATTTATTTATTTTAGCATTCTTTTCTTTTTTAATTTTTAGTTCCAGATTCTCCCCTCAACCCTTTCCCTAACCATTGATGAGGCAAGCAATATGATGTCAATTATACATGTGAAATCATGCAAAAAATTTTTCATGTTAGCAACATTTTTTAAAAAGCAAGAAAAATAAAGGGAGAAAATTATACTTCGCTTTGCAATGAGAGTTGATCAGTTCTGTCTCTGGGAGTGGATAGCATTTTTTCATGAAGAGTCCTTTGGGGGAGCAGCTAGGTGGTGCAGTGGATAGAGGAACGGCCCTGGAGTCAGGAAGACCTGAGTTCAAATCTGGTCTCAGTCCAGACACTTGACCCTTACTAACTGTGTGACCCTGGGCAAGTCACTTAACCCCAATTGCCTTGCCCCCCCCCCCCAAAAAAAGTCCTTTGGAACTGTTTCAGATTATTGTAGCGCTCAGAATAGTCAAGTCTTTCACAGCTGATCACCATTACAACATTGTGTTGTTGTTGTTCAGTCGTGTCTGACTCTTCATGACTCCATTTGGGGTTTTCTTAGCAAAGATACTAGAGAGGTTTGCCTTTTTTTCTCCAGCTCATTTTATAAATGAGGAAAGTGAGGCAAACAGGGTTAAGGGATTTGCCCAGGGTCACATAGCTAGTAAATGTCTGAGTCTAGATTTGAACTCAGGTCTTCATGACTCTAGGCGGTGTGCTCTAGCTACAACATTGTAGCATTCTGTTTTTGCGTTTTGTCCTACTTTCTTATTGTTCACTGCTTATTCTGAGCAGATGTCTTATCTTCCTGAGCAAGACTCATTTATATATTTGATAATGACATGTATATATCACTATATATTATATATAATAATAATCACTGAAATAGAATACTACATGATTTGTAAAGCACTTTATATACCTAGTCCGTTTGATTTTCACAACAACCCTATGAGGTAGGTGTGGCTATTATCCCCATTTTGTTAATGAGGAAACCGAGACAGGCAGGGATGAAGTGATTTGCCCAGGGTCACACAGTTAGTAAGTGTGGTCATTCTCATAACCTTCTCAAGGATAGGCACTCTGCTTTATTTTTCTTTTATACAGCCCGATTCCCAGTGCAGTACTGCACACATAGCCAATATTTGTTGATTGGTTGATATGAATGTGATGGCTCTGAGTTCCTCCCTCACCTCATCATCATCAATGATGTTCCTATAGCACTTTCCCTACATTTTTGGAGAACTAGAATTTAGAAGTAAGAGGTCAATGCCACTTCTTAGGGAGAAGGAAGAGCTGATGTTCAGAACCACATTTCACGCAAGGCTGTAATCCTGAACAAGCCAATCAGGGCCAATAGACACTGTTCATTTCACCTTTGCAAATAGGAACGTGGCTCTGCAATGCCAGGCTGTGCTTTGTAGGGGGCATGGAAGGAACAACCCTATGGAATTCCTTGACTTAACAACCATTTTTACTTAGGCAGGTTATGGAGACAGGACAAAAATGAAAGCTTGACATGTATAAGCTATAACAGATTGCCTGCTGTCTTGGGGGCAGGGGGAGGAAGAAAAATTTGGAACTCAAAATCTTATAAAAATGAATGTTGAAAATTATTTTTACATGTAATTATAAAAAATAAAATACTATTTACAAAAAAAAAAAGAGCTAGTTAGAATCCCCTCTTTGACCACCATTCCATTAATCAGTTTAGCTCAGTAATGTCTATTAGGAGAGAAAGTTCAGTATAGTGGATAAGGATATGGAACTTGGAGCCACAAAGATCTAGGTTCAAATTCCACCTCAGAAACTTACTAGCTGTGTGACCCTGGACATGTCACTTAAATTTTATGTGACTCAGTTTCCTTATCTGTAAAAAAGGAGTTAGACTCAATGGCCTCTAAGTTCCCTTCCAGATCTAAATTTATGATTCTATGAGCCTCTAACCTACTGAATGGCTAGCCTATGTTGAACCCTGGGGATATGACACAGTGGATAGAGCATTGGCCTTGGATTCAGGAGAACCTGAGTTCAAATCCATCCTCAGACACTTACTAGTTGCGTGACCCTGGGCAAGTCGCTTAACCCCAATTGTTTCCAACCCCCTGCCACATACCACCAGCCCCTGCCAAAATCCAACTGAACCCTCATCAAGGCTCTCTCCACTTCAGTCTATCCTCTACACTGCCACCAGAGTAATTTTCTTAAACACGTCACCCTCTACTCAATAAACTCCAATGGTCTCTAGAATCAAATACAAACTTCTCTGTTTAGTTTTTTAAAGGTTTTCATAACCTAGCTCCAGTCTACCTTTATATGAGATTTTTAACATTTTCTTCTACTTTTCCATCTTTTGACTTTGTTTTATTATTTCTTGATCTCTGATGGAGTCATTACCTTCCATTTGACCATTTCTAATTTTCAAGGAGTTATTTTCTTCTGTGAGGTTTGGTATCTCTTTTACCAAGCTGTTAATTCTTTTTTGATAATTTTCTTGTATAACTCTCATTTCTTTTCCCATTTTTCCACTAACGCTCTTATTTGGATTGTAAAATCTTTTTTTTTTTTGTCTTTTTAAATCACTTTTTTAAACTTTTAGGAATTCTTGTTGGGCTTGTGTCCAATCTTCATTTTTCCTTGATGCTTTGTTTGTAAATACTTTGAGACATTTTCTTCTTCTGCGTTTGTGTCTTGAGCTTCCCTGTCATTACAGTAACTATGGTCAGGTTCTTCTTTCTTCATTCTTCCAGCCTACTTCTTGATTTTGGGTTTTATGTGAGTGCTGTGCTTTGCACACTTCTGGGACTGATGTCTGGCCTGAGCTTCTGCCCTCTTATGTCCTTCTGCTACTTTCACATCTCAGTCTGAAGGCCTGCAAGTTTTCAGTGCTCTCCAAGTGGTGTGATCCAGGGAAAGATCTGTTCACTGTCCTCCTGGCCTGAGCTCTGCAGGTTTCTGACCCTGATGTGAGTCTATTGGTTTGTGTGTGGTTGAGTTTCAGTAGACTGTTGTTGGACTCAGTCACTGTTAGCCTTCTGGGAGATTTTGTAGGTCCCAAGCCACTGAACTGCTGGCTACCCTTTGATCTTGGTCTCCTGCTCTGGTTATTCTTCCACAGCCTTATGTGCAGGGTTAAAGGACTGAGTCACCACTCTCCTCCTGGGCTCAGAGCCACACAGGTGTTTCTCCAGAACTCGTTCCTTGCTCAGTACACAGCTGGGGTCCCACTCGATCACTACCGCTCCTCTGTACATTGGATCTATGGTTTAGAATTGGGTAATAAGCAACAGAAAGATACCAGATAGCACTAGTTCTTGCCCCCAGTGCTACTTGAAGGGTCCCCTGGGAGCTCTCTCTGCTCCAGTGCTTCCTGCTCAGGTTGCAATGTCCTGGCCCCCTGTCCATCCTTGGTTGCTAGAATGTTCGCTTCTAAGGCACTGCATTCATCCCCGGCCAGTCCCTGCTCCACCATAAACAGACCTCTCTAGGTCTGTCTTCCTGAGCTGCCCCAAACTAAAAAAGAAATGACTCGTAACTTCTTGCCTTTCTTAATCAGAATTTGGTCTGTCAGAATTCTAGGTAGTTGTGGAGATGTGCTGGGTGAACTCGGCAAAAATGGTTCTTCTCATTCTGTCTCTTTATTCTGGCCCCATCTTCCCACCTGTCTGTCTAGCTTCATTGTATATCACTGCCTATCTGGCACTTTGTGATCCAGTCCAATGAGATTTGTCTCTTTTTCCCCTCACAGCAAATACTCCATCTTTGGTCTCTGCACTTTACACTGGCTGCTCTTGAGCCTGGAATGCACTCACTTCTCATCTCTACCTCACAGAATCCTTGGGTTCCTCCAGGACTAAGTCCAAGCACCGTGCTCTATATGAGTTCTCTTCCTGATTCCCTCAGCTGCTAACGTCCTCCCTCCCAAACAATCTTATTTTTAACGGCTTCACATTTATTCTCTTTACATTTATTTTGCGTACAATTCCATATGTCCTCAATGCTTTCCTATTGGAACCTAAGTTCCTTGTGAGCAAGGATGTTTCACTTACTGTATTTGGATCCCCAGCTCTTAGCCCAGTGCCTGGCACATAGTAAAAAAAAAAAAATATATATATATATATACACACACACATATATATAAAACATACATAAATACATATATACATGTATATGCATATATATATGTGTGTGTGTATATATATATATTATATATATACATACACACACTTATTGATTGATTGATTGATTATCGGAGTTGGAAAGGAGCTCAAACGCCATCTGGCCCAACTTGCTTCTGAGTAAGCATCCCCTCTAAAACATACCCAAAGAAGCCTTTGTTTGAAGACCTAGTAATTAGGAACTCACTATCATGCAAGGCAGCCCATACCACTTTGAATCGCTCTAACTGTTAGTGGTCTTGAGTCATTTCCAGTTTGGCACACTTTGGGTCTTAATTAGTAATAGTGAAAATGACAGTCCTGTTTTTGTTTGCCCACTCCCTGGCCTAAAGGGATTTTCTTTATGGTTTTTTCAGTCTTGCCTGGGTCTTCTCCCTACCTCTCCTAGGTAGGCTGGGCTGAGCTTTCTTGGCAAGACACAGGGAACCTCTGATTATACCTAGGGGACAACTCCCATTTACATTTGCTGTGTGTTGCATCTAAACAGCAATGGCATTTTAGGAGCTTGTGCTGACCTAATTTCTTTCACTTTCAAAGTAGGGTGACCTGAGAAGTTAGAAAAGAACTTCCAACATTAGTTAAATGGTGGTATGTTATAAAAAATTTTTGTTTTCCAGAAGGATGAGTGAAGAGGATATGTGTGTATGTATATAAAAGTTTCAGTTAAATTAATTAATAAAGGGACCCAGAGTAATAAGCAAGTCAAAGAGCATTTATTAAGCACTATGTGCCAGGAATTGTGTTAAGCAGTAGGAATATATAGTTATCTCTTCCACATCATGACTTTCCTTATTGCAGTTTTGATATGTCTTGGATTGGCATAAGAAATTAAATGTGAGTTTGGGGGGAGTTTTGTGGAAGCCACAGATGCCATGCAAAGGCCAGCAGACCACACAGTGCCTTTGATCAACTACTTAACCCAAATTTTACAATTAGGTACTGTGAACACACCATAAAAGAAAAAGAAAAAAGTTCAAACTTCTTCTCTGGTACGAAGGGAGGGCCAAAAAATTTTAAGTGGATTTTCCAAATCATAAAAAGGGAGTGTGAGGGTGCCTCCAATCCCTCCCCCCACATCTTTCCATACCCCCCTCCCATGTGGAAGAGAGAATTGTAAATATAAACAAAAAGAAAAACAGTTCCTGCCCTCAAGGCACTTACATTCTAATAGGGAAGACAATCCATAAAAGGAAGCTGAAAAAAAGGGGTGGGGGGCATGATGGACAAATCTAGCAGAGTGAAACCTTGTAAAAAATGAAGAGATGGCTGCCCAGGGAACCCTCCATAAATGGAGATTCTGGGGGAGCCCTTTACCCTCTAATCAGAAGAAAAATGTATATAGTATTAGTTCATCTAGTGTAGATGGTGAAAGATGGGATTCCTCTAAATGAGAGAAACCCTTCAGCTTACCAGGCAAGATTCCAATAAGGAAATGAGGAATTGATAAAGTTCACTACATACCAAGCACTGTGAGACCTTTGTGGTGTGTGTGCCCTCTTTATGTGACTAAGTCTCTTGTTTAATCAAGTTATAGATAAATGTGTTTGAGGAAATGGTATTCTCATTTTGGTTTTTCTTCTTGCATTTGATTTAGAAAGTAAGCAAAAAAAAAAAACACCTTACAACTCCTACTGAAGTAGAGTTGATATATTTCAAAACTCTCCTGCCTTTTTTAAAAAAATTATTTTATTAATTTTTTATTTTTTAACATTTACTTCTATAAGATTTTGAGTTCCAAATTTTCCCCCTTTCTCCTTCCCTTCTCCACTTCCCAAGTTGACATGCAATCTGTTATAGGCTATACACGTGCAATCATATTAAACACATTTCGACATTAGTCATGTTGTAAAAGAAGAGTCAGAACAAAAGGGAAAAACCATGAGAAAGGAAAAAAAGAGAAAATAGTGTGCTTCAATCTGCATTTAGACTCCACGGTTCTTTCTCTGGTTGTGAATAGCATTTTCCATCATGACTCTTTTGGAATTGTGTTAGATCATTGCACTGCTGAGAAGAGCTAAGTCCATAACAGCTGGTCATCGCATAATGTTACTGTTACTGAAAACACCCCTGCCTTAATGCAAACACACTGTCTAGATTGCAGTAACTTTTTAAAAAGTTTTTTTTTCCCCCATTGCTATCATTTCCCAGTCCTGCCCCCACACCAATAGAATCCTCTCTATTAACAGGGAAATACAGTTAAGCCAAACAAAATGACACATTGACTGTATCTGACAGCATATGCCTCATTCCTCACCTCTCTACCAAGAGAAAAGTATGTTCTAGATTTACTGTATTTTCCTGCTAAGATGCCTGAGCTTTGTGCCACATGTGTCCTGACCATGACCTGGTTTATGGACCAATACTTTGCAATTTTTCTTTCTAAGAGAGAAGCTTTAGCATTGCATTTGCATAATAGAGGAAAGGGTCTGCATATTTCATGACTTATAATAGATGAACCCCATCTCTCCAAGTATGCAACTTCTCTCCAATTTGGATAGAAATTCATTCATTCAACAAATAACTACTGAGTTCTTACTGTGTGCATAGTGCTGTAAGAAAGCTATCTACAGGCTCCCCAAGTCTGAGTACTCTATCATGCCACCTAGCTGCTCTTACAGAGATCAAAAATTAGTTAAGGAGATAAGACATACATTTGTATAAAGTTTTAAAATAGCACAAAATAAACAACTTTATAAAATGTTATAAAGGAGATATCACAAGGCATTAAGTGTAGAATGAGTGATTTGCATAATGAACTCAAAGGCCAGAGGGATCTGGACACGGCCAGTACTCAGTAAACATTTGTTGTATCGAATTCAATTCCTGTAGACAGAATGGTCAGGAAAGACTGTGTGTGGAGTGGGAATTTTTGCTGGGTCCTAAAGAATAGCTAGGGTTGAGGTTGAAAGGAAAGGAGAAGAGGAAAGGCATTCCATGTGAAGGGAAAAGGCAAAATGATGAGACTTTGCAAGGCATATTTGAAGGGCAATTAGTGGACTGATTTGGCTGGAGTGGTATGTTCTTTTTTTTTTAGTGAGGCAATTGGGGTTAAATGACTTGCCTAGGGTAAGTCACAGCTAGTGTCAAGTGTCTGAGACCAGATTTGAACTCAGGTCCTTCTGACTTCAGGGCTAGTGCTCTATCCACCAAGCCACCTAGCTGCCCCTAGAGTGATGTGTTCTTACTGAATGATGATGAAGGAGAAGATGAAGATGAAAAAAAGGAGGAGGAGGAAGAAGAAGAAGAAGAAGATGATGATGATGATGATGATGATGATAATGGTGATGGTGATAGGAGTAAGAATAGGAAATAGATGTGTTATTTCATTGATTTGGGAAACTTACTAGATGAGGAAGCCCCCTTTACCACTGCAGGTCAGGATCCTCACTAGAACTTAAAATCTTAAGAATTGCCTAGAATAGTGAAGTAAGTTGAGTGACTTGCCCACGGCCACATAGCCAATATCTGTCAGAAGCAGTATGGCCTGGTGGCAATAGAATTGCCTTTTTGAGTCAAGGAGACTGGCTCTGTGTAATAATATAAAAGTCATAAAGAGCAATCATCTCTTCCATCTACCCAATTAATGTTTATTAAACACAAAAGAATGATAGTAAGATATGGACCTGTCCCAGGACTGTTTCTATTGGAATTCCACTGAATATCAGATGAGAATGAGAGGAATCACAGCAGCTCACTTTTATATGGGGCTTTAAAGTTTGCTTTTCCTGCTTTATCTTATTTGATCCTCACAGTTCTGGGAGGTGGGTACTATTCTTATCTCTATTTTCCAGATGAGGAGCTTCCCCTAATAGACCGTCAGTTCCTTTCATTTTTGTGTTTGTATCCCAAGAGCCTAGCAAAGTGCCTGGCACTTCATGGATACTTGATGCCTGCTGAATGAATGAATGACACTCTCAAAGGTTAAGTGATTTATCCAAGGACACATAGTTAATAAGCATTCTAGATTGGATTCAGACTTAGGTCTTCCTTACCCCAAGATCGAGACTCTATCCAAAACATCATGCTGCCTCCTTAATTAGATCGAAGACATAAATTGAAGCCCAATTATGGAAGGCCTTCAGTGCTAGGGTGTTTGCGTATGATGAAATACCTTTGTCAATGGTGAAATTCCCTGCAATACTATAAGCATCCCCTTTCCCATTTGTACCATGAAGGCCTTTGCCTGTTAGGGTAATAAAATATTTCATGTGCTGTCTTGATGCATCCAAATCAGATAGGGTCACCCTATGAAACAGGTTTCTTATTTGTTGGTTATTGTTAACTGAATAATATTATAAAATGTAAGTGAGCTGTTGTTTGGCATTAAAAAGAAGACAGACCGTCTTTGTCCTCTCAGTTCCAGTAATAATTGGTACTTTCAGCCCTCATGTCCCTCAGGAGGTGACATCTTTGGAATTTGGGACTGAGTGGGGGTTTTTTTTATGTTTTCTTTGAAGAATTAGGACAAGATCATGAACCCTTTTATCAATGAGGAAGAAAATTGGTGTGTGTGTGTGTGTGTGTGTGTGTGTGTGTGTTTATTAACCTCTCTTTCTCTTTCTTTCTCTTAGGAGGCAGCTGAACTATCTACTCTCAAACCACAGCTAGACCAGTTGGGCATCCCACTCTATGCTGTGGTGAAAGAGAAGATTGGGTCAGAAGTGGAGGATTTCCAGCCATATTTCAAAGGAAAGATCTTTCTGGATGAAAGGGTATGTCTGTTGCAAGACTTATCCCAATGCTGTGTTTTTTCACAGTGCCGAATCAGAGTTGGCCCTTTGCTTTGTTGAATTTCTGGGAGTAGCTTGAACACTGAACTGCGAAGCTTCGACGGACTTGGCCTGAAGTTGGCCTTGTGGAAATGAATTATTTGAACAACACTATACTAACTCATTAGTTAAAGTCAGCCTTGGATTTCTCTATAGATTGTATTGAGTTCCTTTGAAAGCCCAGTGGCTTTCCTGCTTGCCATATTCTCACACGATTATCTTTTTCATGCACCTTGGATCACATAATTAAGGGATTATAGGAACTCTCTTCTTGCTTATTGCTTAAATACTTCTTGAAATGGAGTTCTGTGAGCTTGACCTATCACTAAAGCCAAAAAGGGCTAATTCATTCTATGATGGAATACAATGAAACATTCGCAAGGAAGCAGGCTTAAGGGGAAGGTGGAAATGGCTCATTCCTCTAACTCTTTTTGTTCACCCCCTGTCATGAGCTTAATGAGAAATGATAAGGAAGAAGATGATGATGATGATGATGATGATAGCTAACATTTACATAGCACTTACTAGGTGCCAGGCACTGTGCTCAATTTTTACAAATATTATCTTATTTGATTTTCACAACAACCCTGTGAGGTAGATGCTATTATTATCCCTATTTTACAAATGCAGTTTTTTTTTCCTACCTCCTATTGTACCCAGTTGATCACAACAAAAACTAGAAGATTGCCACTGTCCAGCTGGGAGCAAGAATATTTTAGGCTGCAAGTGTTTTTTCTTCCACTAAGTTCTTTCTCCTATAGCTACTCATTGTGTGGATATGATAATACTCATAATCATCATAACTGACATTTATATAACACTTACCAGGTGCCAGGCACTGTGCTAAGTGCATTACAATTATTATCTCATTTGATCTTCACAGTAACCCTGGGAGGTAGGTACCATTATTATTGCCATTTTACAGATGAAGAAACTGAGGCAGGCAGAGGTTAAATGATTTTCCCAGGGTCACACAGCTAGTAAGTATCTGAGGCTGGCAGGATTAGACTCCATTCTTCCTGATTTTGTGTCCAGCACTCTATCCACTTTGCCATATAACTGCCTCGAAGACCCCAGTATTCTAAAAGCTCTGTCAGGAGAGTGTAAGCTCTGGCAGACCTTCTCAAGCTAGAAAGGCTGTCCAGGCACCAGCTTAGCTAAGTATAGATCATAGGATCATAGATTTAGAGCCATAAGGAAACTTAGAAACCAAAAAAAAAAAAAAAAAGCCCAAACCTCTCATTTTTACAAATGAAACAACTGAAACCCCCCAAAATTAAGTGATTTGCTCAAGGTCACACAGGTAGTAAGTATCAGAGGTAGACTTAAACCTAGGTCTTCGTATCATTTGGGAGATTAATTTTTCAACCACAGAAACTCTCAAAAATAGTTAACTGGGGTCAGATTTTTAAGATCTTTAAGATCTAACCGAGGGCTCAGATTCTTAAGATCTAGCCACAGGCTCAGACTCTTAAGATCTGGCCCTCATGCATTAGTGATATAAATGCTTAGATGCCTGAAGAGTCTGCCCAATGTGATGGATATTCTAATAAATCTTCTCTTTGACTGGAAAAAAAATAGTTAACTAAGTCATAGAGATGTTGTGAGGGTCCATGAATATATCCTGCCCTCCCCCATCCTACTCACACAATATCACAAAAATTTAAACGGTCCAAGTATAAATATTCAGCTCGGATGTGGGCTCAGAGCTATGTGTACATTCTCACTAGGCCTTTACCCTCTTACTTTTAATGAGAGAACCCAGCTTAATTCTTGGGATTCTGTGTTTCCCATGTGCCGGCAACTAGATGTGATGTTTTCCCCTGTAGGAACTAAATACTTCTGACAGCCTTCCTCTTCTGAAGAGGTGAGGGCAGATTGAGGAGAGAGGGGAAGGAACAAAGACATAAACATTGATAACTTGGCATCTCTCTCTTTTCTGCAGAAAAAGTTTTATGGTCCTCAGAAGCGGAAGATGATGTTTATGGGATTCATTCGTCTGGGGGTTTGGCAGAACTTTTTCCGGGCCAGGAGTAAGGGCTTCTCTGGTAACCTGGAAGGAGAAGGGTTCATCCTTGGAGGTGTTTATGTGATTGGGCCAGGCAAACAGGTATAATGTGTGTGTGTGTGTGTGTGTGTGTGTGTGTGTGTGTGTGTGTGTGT